GTTAATTTTGCATTGAATTTTTCTTCTAGAAGTTACATCACATTATGCAGAATGTGGTTATTTGGATATTCATTTTTCAAATGTTTTCTTTGTTGGTTTTTTTTTTTTTTTTTTTTTTTTTTGAAAACTAGATATATATTATCAGGGCACAAAAGCTAGAGAACTACAAAGAAAGCCTAAAGCAAGGCTAACACGCAAACCACGCAAACAAAACAAAGCAGCAAAGGGGATAAGAAGAAAGACACAAGAACCAAGTTCCCATGTCTCCCCTTCAACTGTCCCAACAAAAAACATCAAGGGGGATAAGGTAATCCAGTGGCGAAGCCAGGATTTGCCGAGGGGAGGGGCGAAATTTAAAAGAGTGCAATGTTCAATTGAATCGGTTGCTTTCATTGGAGAGTGCAAAGTTTTGAGTCAATATTCATAGCAGAAAATAATCTCTCCACCAAAGCGTTTGTAAGCAAAAATATCAAAGTCAATGTAAGAATCTTAAATTGGCTAGGATTAGATCCTAAAAAATGTTAAGCACTAGTCAAATAGCGGATTAGAACCTAGCAGCTAGGTGCCTAGGTGAGATCTAGGCAGAAGCCCAGATGGATTTAAATTAGGGAGTCTTATAACGAAACACTCCTGGTACTGTTGATACTCTAAAAAGTCACTCTTAATACTATTCTCTTACAACACATTTTTGTTCTTTTGGTTAAAACTAAAAAAATTTCAAACCATTTCCATTGATTTTCATATTACTTGAAACATGAAACAAGTCCTCAAATTCACATCGGAAATTCATTGAAAATAGTGATGGCTAGAAAAAAAAATACAAATTTGAGTATGAAATAACCTCTTCCATATTGTATTAACAACATTAAGGTAATTTTAGTATTGAAAGTCTTATTTTATGTGGTATTTTGTGGGTATAGTTTATCTAAAATATTTCATTGAAGCACTTATGTTTTTAAAGTATAATTAGGGACCAATCAGAAGATCAAACCAAAAGAACGAGAGACCAAGGCAAACCATTTAACCAAAAACAAAGGAACCAAGTCAAACGGAAAAAAGATAAAAGGAAAAAAAACAAAAAAAAAAAGGAAAGGAAAAACAGAGAAAAACAACAAAAGAAGGATAGAAGAAAAAGTAACAAAACGGAAAGTTTCATTTAAAAGGAGTGCTGAAACGACGTCGTCCGGTTCAAGATATTTTTAGAACAACTTTTCTTTTCTGTTCTTCTTCCTCGCGCATGACTTGCCCTCCTGTACAATAGGCAGCCCACCGTGGAGATGGCTGGCGCGGTAGCAAAGGGCCAAACAGTGGCCCGGTGTGTGCTGATTGCTGGGATTTTTCTACTGGGAATTTGAATGCAGCTCTGCTGCGCGCAGAGCAGAACCAGACAGCACAGAGGAGACGAAAAGCAGCGGCGCTGCAGCAGCTCCTGAAAAAACTCTCCAACCCGCTTAACAACCGATAAGGTAGGAAAGGCTTCCCATCTACCATTTTCCAATGAAGTGGATAAAGATGAAATCGAACTTTTAGAATCACATTCAATGATTACCCAACGGTATCCCAAAGCAAGTGCAAGCTCACAGCCACGCAAAAGAGCTAGAGCTTCTGCCAAGGCAACCGATTTAGCCTGAACCGCAACCGTGCCGCTGCCACGAAGCGACCCATCGAACCCCTAATGACAATCCCCACAAAGCCATTCTGTGTAGAAGCAGACCAACTAGCATCAACATTAACTCCAAATAACATTACAACAAGTACCCACAAGTGGCAAGAAGAGGAAGACAAACTAACAAAGAAAGCATATGGTATCTACGAAACAAGATTTGTTTTGAGGGTGCTAAGCTATGTATGGCTCACGCCGAATCTAGGATTCTTATGTGTACTAAAGAATCCGTCCTTTGTTTTTTTTTTTTCTTTTTTTTTCTTCGGTCCCTTCAGCGTCAAGTGCTCCTAATTTTTTAGATTTTAGGTGTTTCTCCTTTGTTGTCTACCGCCCCTTGTTTAAATCTATTTGTACTAGTAGCATTAGCATTACCAGCAACGGAATGAAATCCAACTTTTTTGTGCAGAAAGGTAAAAACGAAGGAAGGATTACCTGTTGAGTTAGGAAGTCTCGTGGTTATCACCTTTATCTTCATCTTCCACAGATTCAGCCCAGTTCATGAAATCCCATGAATTTCAATCCTTCTCTGGAATCAAGCTGCAATTGAAAAGAAACTGACTTCAATTGGTTCTTGTTTGAAACCCTAATTCTGTATTCTGAAAAACAACACCCTTATGCTGATGACATAAAATATGCAAGATGTATTTACACAATGTTGGGAGCAATTTTGCTCACCATCATAAACTATAATGTATGCTCATCATACTTTTAATTAATTGACACGTGTCATTTCACTTAATCTTAGTTAACTTTCACATTAAATGTTAGTTTTTCAATTTTGAAAAAAAATTAACTAAGATTAAGTGAAATGACACGTGTCAATTGATTAGAAGTATGATGAGCATACACTATAATTTATGGTGGTAAGCAAAAATGCCCCCATAATCTATATGTCTGTATAAGACTAAAAAGGTGAAGTTCTTAAAAAGTTCTTAAATACCGCTCTATTTTTTAATTCTTTTTAAGTAATACAACTTAATTAAAAAGATAAAAACTATAAAAATACAAAATAAAACAACCTCATTCACGCAGATGAGTAAATGATCATTTATCCCAATGATAAAAATATGTAATAACCCGTCTCAAATGTTACGATTTTCATCCCGAAATTACTTTACAAAATTACTATTTTAGATATTTATATTATTTTATTATTTTGTGGTGAGTTTTTGTGTGACCGTGGGACCCACACCCCACTTCTCCCTCCTTTTCCTTTCTTTCCCGTGTCTCCCTTCCCAAATTCTGAAAACACTCATTCTCTCTCTAAGTTTCGAACACACTCTGTTTCTTCGAATTTTGAGCTTGAAAACATGTGCTTTAACTCGATTATACTCTGAACTTGCATGCCCAGCCTCGGCTTCGAATTCTAGCAGTGTTCTCATTTCATTTCTCTTTCGGTTGGGACTGAATTTGGTGAGGTTTAAACCTGTTTATTCGTGCTCTAAACCTCTGCATGTTAATTTCAAGTTAAATTCGAAGGACTGGAGCTAATGCATGCTCTGTATTTTCTGCTCAGAAACCAAAGAAGCCATCGCCAGTGCCATTGCAACTAGTCAAAGACCAATTCATTCCTAATCTATGAAGCAAGGATACGAATACAGATACAACGATACGGAAAATCTCTAAAAAATTAAGGTAAGATATGTCAAGGATACGGCAAATAAAAATGTATATATTAATAAAAATATACATTTTAAAACATAATTCATCATTTAAATTCAAGTACATTTGAGTTATAAGAGAAAAAAAAGTTCGAAATTTAATCATCTTTATACAATAGAAGTGTGAGAGTCGTATCATGGTTTTAATTAGAGGGAGCTTTTGTATTCAGTAACTTTCAATTATAGATATCTCCTATTAATTTTCTCTGCCTTATTACCTTTTTTTAAAAGTGTAAATGTATTCTAAAAGACGGATATGTGTATCCTAAATGTAGGATACGCGTATCCATCAAGTCAAATTCTTGTCCATCAACCAGGATACATGTCGGATAAGTATCCGAGAGTATCGGGTAAGTATCGTATCCGATCAAGTATCCAATACGGATACGGGACCAAACAGAAGTATCCGTGCATCATAGTTCCTAATCGACTACTGGGTAAATCTCTGAACCTCTGTGTGAAGTTTTAGCTGGGATTAAATGAAAATTTGGGAGAATTTCACCTCTGGGTGGTCCTTGTTATTTCCAGAAACTGGTGAACTATACCGAAGTAAACTTGACGACCCCGACTTCACATTCTTCAACGCGTCCAAGAAGGCCATTGATACGATTCCTCTCATCTCTCTCTTGTGTTTAAGCAAGGATTTGGCTCCATTTTAACGCTCTCTCCTGTTTTTCTTCTGTTAGTTTTCAATTCTTAGAATTCTTTGTGATTTTCGTGTACGGAAAACTAATCTCCATAGCTAGGCTAGGAGAGAAACCTACACTATAACTATGTACTTTTATTATTTTGATTTTATTTTTGATTTTATTTTGGATTTTCAATGTCAAATTTATATTGTGGAATTTCTTGTTTAATCTATTTTTGGAATGATGAATATTAGTTAGAGTAAATTGTAGTTATGATTCTTTAACTTTAACTCAATTGAAGCAATGGTCCCTCAACTAAAAATTCATTACCATTGGTCCCTCAACTCATCAAAACGTGCAGCTATGGTCCCTCAACTAAAAATTCATTACTATTGGTCCCTTAACTTTAATTCAACTGGAGAAATTGTCCCTTAACTTTAACCAAATTGTAGCAATGGTCATTCCAACATAACTCGTTTTGACAAAATTTTGACGTAGTTGAAGAAAAGGACCATAATTACACACTTTGATGAGTTGAGGGACCCTAATTGTATAAATGGTCATTCCAACATAACTTATTTTGACAAAATTTTGACGAAATTGATGAAAATGACTATAGCTACACATTTTGATAAGTTGAGGGACCAATGGTAATGGATTTTTAGTTGAAGGACCATTACTCCAATTTGATTAAAATAGAAGGGCTATTGCTACAATTTACTCTATTAGTTATGATCCATAAGATCAACTTTTTTTTTTTTTTTTTTTTTTGTGTTGTTTTGCTTCAACATTCATGCTTTTGGTGAACTATATAAATTGATTGATTGATATGATTTTGGATGTTCGATTTAATCACCAAAAGGTTTTATACGAGAAAACTTAAATGTCATATCTTCTGATTGAGAACGCACCTTGTTTGATTATCAGTTGAGTTATAAAAATGAATCGAAATAGTGGAATTGCATAATTGTATATAGGTGGAACCCCAATGCTTTAATGCTACTTGGAGCATATGGTATCTACAAAACAAGATCCTGTTATACCATCTTCAGTTAATGGAATAGAATTCCATCTTGCTAAGCATTTAAAAGGCCACAGAAATGTTTCCACAGGATGAGTCAACCGAATGTTTGCAGATTGTATAAAACATCATATAGCTGGTTGTGTTTAAGGTACATCAACAATGCCAACAATTAGGATACAACTATATATATGTTGGACAATTTGAGCATTACCCTGCTAATCCAACATGGCTTTTACGACGAAAACGCCCCAAAGTTCGTTGCATTTCCAGATCAGGCATCAATCCTATTTGGATCATTTCTTTAACAAGCCTCAAAGCTTCACCGATTCTGTTAACGTTTATATAGCCGTTGACCAAGGTTTTATAGGAAGCAATATCAGGCGCATAACCCATAATCACCATTAAGTTCAACACCACCTTCGCCTTATCCATTCTGCCCTGCAAACAATGTTCACTAACCAGCATACTGCAAGTTATTGTGCTGAGTTTCATACCGTATTCAATTGTTGCCTCAAATATTTTGTGAGTCTCTTCTGTCATCCCACCTTTGTAGATAGCATCCAAAAGTATTACCAAAGTAACGGTATCAGGCAAGAGTCCCCGGCCTACCATATCATCAAACAACCTTGTGGCTTCTTCCCATTGAGCTGTACGGCACATGCCATTGATTAAACTGTTGTAAGTGATAACATCTGGGGCAACACCTTCATCCAGCATTCTATTAAACACCCTTGTAGCTTCTTCCCATTGAGCTGTACGGCACAATCCATTAATTAAGGAGTTGTAAGTCACAACATCAGGCTTTTCCCCTCTATGGATCATTTCTTCCACAAGATTCAGTGCCTCTGCTGTCTTCCCTTCCTTGCATAAAGCATCCAGTACAGAATTATATGTAACAATATCAGGCAAGGCTCCATAACCAATCATGGTTTTAAATAAACTCATAACTTCCTCCCAGTTACCAGACTTGCATGAAGTAGAAATCAAGCAATTAAAAGTGACAACATCAGGCTTTATGCCTCTCATTGTCATCTTTTCAAATAGAGCAAGCGCTTCTTGAATTCTTTCTTCCTTGCAAAGACCGCTGATAAGAACATTATATGTGTATACATTGGGTGAAATTCCACTGTTAAGCATGCAAATCAAGAAGCTCTTGGCTTTTTCCAACCTCCCCAATTGGCACAATGCATAAATTAGAGCGGTGTAGGTTAAAACATCTGGCTTGACTCCTTGATCTTCCATTGCTTCCAAAAGAGAGAGCACTTCTTCCCAGCGACTCGTGTTGCATAACCCATGAATCAATGTGTTATAATTGAAAACATTCGGTACAACACTTTTGCTGATCATATCTCGAAATAGGGTCAAGGCCTCGTCTATTCGTCTTTCTTTACAGAGGCTATCAATGATTGGATTGTAGCATTCTTGGTTGGGCTTGAACCTTCCATCTTCCCACATCTTCATTAGTATCTCTAGTGCCTTAGAAGTTTTCCCAGCCTTGCATAACCCATTGATCATGGTAGCATAAGTGATTTCATTGCCTCGTCCCAGGAACTGTACTTGCAAAGTCCGTGAAGTAAAATACTTATAGAATGAGCATCGGGTTGAAGACCATATTTAAGGGTAGTTGCTAAAACAGAGAAACCCAAGTCCACCCGGTTCAGACGGCACAAGCAATTCAGAAAAATATTCATTGTACAGACATCAGGTCGGAATTGAGCGCAACCCATCAACTGTTTACACATAGAAACCACAGCAGAATACTCCTTCATCTTGGAGAGTGCCCCAAACAAACAATTGAAAGTCCAAATAGAGGGCAAGGGTTTGGTTTGAATCATGGAATCGAAGTAACCCAATGCTTCATCTTTCCCAATTTTTCCATATTTGCATCGAGTTTGGATCAAATTGTCCGATTCCAAATGTGTTTGTTTAAATCTAACTGTACTAGTAGCATTAGCATTACCAGCAGCGGAATGAAATCCATCTTTTTTGTGCAGAAAGGTAAAAATGAATGAAGGAGTACCTGTTGAGTTAGGAAGTCTCGTGGTTATCACCTTTATCTTCATCTTCCACAGATTCAGCCCAGTTCATGAAATCCCATGAATTTCAATCCTTCTCTGGAATCAAGCTGCAATTGAAAAGAAACTGACTTCAATTGGTTCTTGTTTCAAACCCTAATTCTGTATTCCGAAAAACACTACCCTTATGCTCATGACATAAAATATGCAACATGTATTTACAGAGTGTTATAATCTATGGATGCGTTTGTTGCACCGGATTATCTTGAACTGGACTAGCTTCATGAACTAAACTGGACTGGCTTAGACTAGACTAAACTGGACTGACTTAGTGAAGCGTTTAGTGCAGTGTCAGACTAATAAGCAGGATAACTATTAAATTTAGATACTATATTATTTAATCTCTATTTAATAATATTTTATTATTAATCTATCATTTTACTTGTTTCTATAAACAATCTAATGGCCAGTATTTTTTTTCCAAGCATATCACTGGCCCATTCCTCTTTCCTCTGGTACTCTATCCCTCCCTTCTCCCTCTTTTTATCTGGTTCACCATTTTTCTAGAGTTCTCTTCCACTCTCCGTATACATCTCTCTATTTTCCACCACCCATCTCGCTCCCATCCCCTCTTTTCCACCATCCACTCTCTCCCTAACCTCTCCCTTTTTTCCTTATGCAGAGGATTCATCAGAGCTCACCACCCAACGCCTCCTCTGATTTTCTCAGAAAATCTCGGGATTTTTTGGTGATTTTGCGTTTTTGTTTTGAATTTGTTCGGGAGATTCGTCTGCATGTGCTTTTGGGGGAATTTTAGATGTTGGATTTTGAGATTTAGGCAGTGGGTGGGGGTGGTTTTCAGATCTACACAGGGAGTAAAGGAGCAGGAGTTGCAGACGACAAGGTGTGCAAACGATGTTGGAGACGGGATTAGCAATCCCATGGTTTTTGGGGGGTCTCACTAGGACGACTTAGTGAAGCTCATAGTCGGAACGAGTCTGACTTAATCCCATTTAAGTTTAGTCCAGCTTGCACCAAACACGGGATTAGTAGTCTTAGCAAAGTAGTCCAATCCAGTGAACTTTAACGAGGGCAAACAAACACGCCCTATATATCTATATAGGACTAAAAAGGTGAAGTTTTGGTTGCCACAAAAAAAAAAAAAGGTGAAGCTTTTAAAAAGTTCTTAAATACCGCTCTATTTTTTTTATTTTTTTAAGGAATACAACTTAATTAAAAAGAAAAAAAACTATAAAAATACAAAATAAAACTATCTCATGCACATGAGTAAGTGGCCATTTATCACGCAGGTGAAAATATGTGGTGTCATTGCATGACGACGTGAGTTTGAATCTTGTCGGGGGCTAATCTATCTTCCCGGAACTTATTTTCAACACGCCCCCTCATGTATGACGAATTTTGAAGCCTAACACTTTGACAACACAATGGAAGTGACGTGGAGCACGTGTGACCATTTGGCTTCACATGTGGGACAACTTGCTCTGATACTATATATATTCGTCTTTGGTAGTAGTGGAGGTATTGATAGTAGTGGTGGAATGAGAATCCTCGCCAGACTCTCTTTGTGAAGATCTCAGGGATTCTCAAATCACATCCGTTCATCGTACTTCGTGCGGTCAAAAATCATTGTAATTTTTATTATTTAAAATTGAATATAAACAACACTTGACAAAAACTGGTTGTACGATGTACGATAAACGAATGTGATTGGAGGATTCCCAGGATCCTCACAAAGAAGATCTAGCGAGGATCGTTTCTTGTAGTGTTGACAAACGACATCAGAGGTGGTAGTAATGGTGGGATTTAGGTGGTGACAACAACGAAGTAATGGTGGTCATTGCCCTATACTTTGTTGTTTTTTTTTCGACAGAAAAAAAAAAGTACAGGGCAATGACGACATAGTGGTGCCAGCGGCGATGACTATGATGGTGGCAAATAATGGTTGTGTTAACAATGGTTGTGAAAATGGTGGTTGAGAGGTGGTGGGGATGATGGTGGTAGAGAATGTGGAGGTGGTGGAGGCCGTGGTGATGGTAATGGGTTGAAGAATGTGATGATGCTGGTGAAAGGTGGTGGTGGTGGCCCCAATGGTGAAACGGTGGAGGTAGTTATAGCATAGTGACATACATGATTTTATAGTGTATCTTTTTATTTTCTATTATTTGGGAAACTATTTTTGAAAAACAAAGAAAACATCTATTTCATGTTTTATAGAACTTTGGCTAAACAGTATTTTATGAGTTTTTTGTTTTTTGAGTTTATTTTCACAAAATAGTTTGTCAAACGCATTTTCACCCGCTTTTGTATTTGCAAAATGAATCCTTATTTTGCAAAACGTTAACGAACATGTCCTTTTTTTTTGTTATGATACAACAATGAATGAGAGTTTTTTTGTTCTATTAAAATGACTAAAAGAATTACACCTAATCAAAGGAATAGAATCTTACCATCATAAATGTGAAAAAAAAGAGCTAGATGTAAAACAACTCTTCTTGAAGAAATTTTTTAAAGTGCCTGATATTAAAGCAAGCACTCCACATGTCATAAACAAGTGGAGGGACACGATAAAAGTACAAGAAAACCTAAAAGATGAATACATGCAAAAAGTTGTCAAACAAAAAAAAAAAAAAAAAACAGACAAGGTTATGACAATAAAAAAACCACCTAAGGGATAAACATGTAAGCATGAACACCCAAAAAAGAAATTTAAATGCAGTAATGGAAGAATGTGCAAGGGTGGACCATGTCAAACAACATAAGATGAGAGCAGTCTAAATTTGATAATTTCTAGCAACTGCATTTCCTTTCCGAAAAGTATGAGGTCGATGAAATTCCCAACATGTTTCAAGTGACCAAGGAGGCAAAAAAGAGTCCAATGAAAGAAAAGGTGAACAAGTGTCGGAAGCCAAACAACAAATAATCACACCAGATGAATCACTTGCAAGCTAGAGATACCATGTGTGTTTATCATTTTCCTAAGAACTAACAGTCTATTTGGATACGGTAAAAAAACACAGAATTTTAATTAATTTTGGAAATTTAAGATGGGAAAGCAATTTTCCCTTGTATGAGAACTTGCCGCGAGAGAAAAGGAAAATTCCAAGGGGAAAAAACGTGGAAATCGAGGATGAAGCTTCCCGAGTTCAATTTCCGTCTAAATAGATGTAATTTTCCAATTACAACTATGACGAGAATCGCAAATTCATGTGGAGTAAATCTTGAGCATACCAATTTTCACGATTAGGACACCAAATTGGGATGATTGGGTGCCAAATTCCAAATACCGGAATCTTAATTATTGTAAATTGTAACTCCCGTCGTTTAGAATTCTATGAAAATTTAAAAATTCATCATCCAAACATAGTGTAAAGGTTTAACTAGTTCAGTTGTAAATATCAATCAACGGTACCATGTATTTGTTCATTAGTGACATCCAAAAACTCACGCAAGCCACACTCACAAGGAGAAATATTCTGCAAAAAAAATTGCCTTCTAAACCAAAACGTCTACGTTGAATTTCCAGTTCAGGTATCAATACTTTTTCGATCACTTCTTTATACAAGCCCCGTAGCTTCAATGGTTCTCTCCGATGTGCCGCCACGAGCACTGATCTTCATCCAATCCAAAGTTTACCACAACTAACAATATTGCGTGGTCACTAGAAGTTAGAAACTAACGATAACTGAAGGCTTTTCATCCTTAATCTTCAAACCCTTGCAGAGGGACCTAACAACTACCCTGCTAATCCAATATGGCTTTTATGACGAAAACGCCCCAAAGTTAGTTGCATTTCCAGATCAGGCATCAATCCTATTTGGATCATTTCTTTAACAAGCCTCGAAGCTTCACCTATTCTGTTAACGTTTATATAGCCGTTGACCAAGGTTTTATAGGAAGCAATATCAGGCGCATAACCCATAGCTGCCGTTAAGTTCAAGACCACCTTCGCCTTATCCATTCTGCCCTGCAAACAATATTCACTAACCAGCATACTGCAAGTTATTGTGCTGAGTTTCATACCGTATTCAATTGTTGCCTCAAATATTTTGTGAGTCTCTTCCGTCATCCCACCTTTGCAGATAGCATCCAAAAGTATTACCAGAGTACCGGTATTAGGAAAGATTCCCCGGCCTACCAGTTCATCAAACAGCCTTGTGGCTTCTTCCCATTGAGCTGTACGGCACATGCCATGGATTAAACTGTTGTAAGTGATAACATCAGGTGTCAGACCTCTTTGAGTCATTAACTCTAACATACTGAGGGCTTCCTCGGTCCTCCCCTCCTTGCAAAGAGAACTTATCATATTATTATAGGTTATAACACTTGGGGCAATACCTTCATCCAGCATTCTATTAAACCACCTTGTGGCTTCTCTCCATTGGCTGGTCCGGCACAATCCATTAATTAAGGAGCTGTAAGTCACAACATTAGGCTTTTCCCCCCTACTGATCATTTCTTCCACAAGATTCAGTGCCTCTGTTGTCTTCCCTTCCTTGCATAAAGCATCCAGAACAGCACTGTATGTAACAATATCAGGCAAGACTCCATAACCAATCATGGTTTTGAATAACCTCACACCTTCCTCCCAGTTACCAGACTTGCATGATGCAGAAATCAAGGAAGTAAAAGTGACAACATTAGGCTTTATGCCTTTCGTTGTCATATTTTCCAACAGAGTAAGCGCTTCTTGAATTCTTTCTTCCTTGCAAAGAGTGCTGATAAGAATATTATATGTGTATACATCTGGTGAAATTCCATAACCAATCATGGTTTTGAATAAGCTCACACCTTCCTCCCAGTTACCAGACTTGCATGATGCAGAAATCAAGGAAGTAAAAGTGACAACATCAGGCTTTATGCCTTTCGTTGTCATATTTTCCAACAGAGTAAGCGCTTCTTGAATTCTTTCTTCCTTGCAAAGACTGCTGATAAGAATACTATATGTGTATACATCTGGTGAAATTCCACTGTTAAGCATGCAAATCAAGTAGCTCTTGGCCTTTTCCATCCTCCCCAATTGGCACAATGCATAAATTAGAGTGTTGTAGGTGACAACATTAGGCTTGACTCCTTGATCTACCATTCCTTCAAAAAGAGAGAGCATTTCTTCCCAGCGGCTCGTGTTGCATAACCCATGAATCAATGTGGTATAAGTGATAATACCCGGTACAACACTTTTGCTGATCATATCTCGAAATAGGGTCAAGGCGTCGTCTATTCGTCTTTCTTTACAAAGGCTATCCATAATTGGATTGTAGCAATCTTGGTTGGGCTTCAATCTTCCATCTTCCCACATCTTCATTAGTATCTCGAGTGCCTTAGAAGTTTTCCCAGCTTTGCATAACCCATTAATTATTGTAGCATAAGTGATTTCATCGCATGTGTATCCCTTATCTTCTATTTCCTGGAAGAACTCCATTGCCTCGGCCAGAGAACTATTCTTGCAAAGTCCATGGAGCAAAGTATTTATAGAATGAGCATCGGGTTGAAGACCATACTTAAGGGTAATTGCTAAAACAGAGAAACCCAAATCCACCCGGTTTAGACGACACGAGCAATTCAGAAAAATATTCATTGTGCAGACATTAGGTCGGAATTGAGCGCAACCATCAACTGTTTACACATAGAAACCACAGCAGAATACTCCTTCATCTTGGAGAGTGCCCCAAACAAACAATTGAAAGTCCAAATAGAGGGCAAGGGTTTTGTTTGAATCATGGAATCAAAGTAACTCAATGCTTCATCTGTCCTAAAATTTCCAGATTTGCATCGAGTTTGAATCAAATTCTCCAATTCCAAATGGGTTTGTTTAATTCTACCCGTACAAGCAGGATTAGCATTAACAGCGTCGGAATGAAATCCACTACTTGTATTCTGCAGAATGGTAAAAATGAAAGAAGGAAGATTACTTGGAGATGGAGGTCTTGTGGATATCCTCTTCATCTTCATTTTTGCGACTGGCCGACTCCTGACAAATTCAGTTCACGTCAATTTTTTAGATGAATCTGACTTTAATTTCATTGCTCTTTTCAAACCCTAATCCCCTTTTCTGCTCTCAGAGGCCCAACGACACGTTTGCTTGTTGGTTGACAAAGATGCAGGTAATTGAATATGATAGGGATTAGCATGAACAGCATTGGAATGAAATCCACTACTTGTATTCTGCAGACTGGTAAAAATGAAAGAAGGAAGATTACCTGGAGATGGAGGTCTTGTGGTTATCCTCTTCATCTTCATTTGAAAGCTCTCTCCTGTTTTTCTTGGGGTTCGAGGACGATTTTGGTATAAAGGCAAGGATTTGGCTCCATTTGAGAGCTCTCTCCTGTTTTTCTTCTTAGTTTTCAGTGCTTAGAATTCTTTGTGATTTTTCTGCATAGCTAAGGTTAGGAGAGAAACCTACACTATAACTGTGTACTTTTATTATTTTGATTTTATTTCGGATTTTCACCGTCAATTTTAGGGGTGGGTTCGGTTCAAATCGGTTCGGTTTTTTGTCAAAACCGAAACCGAACCGAAATTTCGGTTCGGTTCAATTTTTTTTCGGTTTTTTTCGGTTCGGTTTTTTTTCGGTTCGGTTTTTTCCGGTTCGGTTTCGGTTTTTTTTTTCAAAAAATGAAATAAATTGAAATCTTAAATTTTAACATATCCAACACAATCATAACATAAATATTCCGACTAAACTTAAAGATAATGAAAATAAACATTTAAAGTTCAACTAGAATTATAACATAAAGATTTTTTTTTAATATTTTGGGTTTAAAGTTTAACTGTAAATAGATTTCTTTTTAGACGATGATGATGGAGTACGACCTTATTCATTCCTCTCTCTCTCTCTCTCTCTTTCTCTCTCTCTCTCTCTCTCTCTCTCTCTCTCTCTCCATGTATTCTTCACTAGCAATAAGATAAACATTCTATAATATACTATTTATTTTGATTATTGTCTAGGTAACAATTTTTGATATTTTCTTTATCTTTATGGTCCGAATTTGTTTTATCCATATATGTGGTTACATAATATAATTTCTACATTCTGTGTTCAGCTTCTACTGCCAGCAAATTTTGAAGAGGTGTTCATCAATGTTTTTGAATATATTGATATACTTTTCAAAATTGTTGAGCCACGGAAGCTACTATACTTGGCCATAGGTGAGAAAGTTTGAATTTTGTTTTTGATCTCGTAGTGTTTAATAAACTCATGAGACTTTTATACGCTGTTTGTTTTCCCTAATCATCTGCAATGCAATTGAGATATGTGTTCTTATATATGTGTTGCACTTAATGATATAAACTAGAAATATTGCATGTAATGGTATAAGTTCTAATTTTTATTGTAGATGGAGAAGCTGAGAAGACAATTTGAATTGGAAAGCAAACAAGTCCTACCAAAGCAGCAGTCCGAAGTATCATATTCTAATATAATAAATTCAAATAATTAAATAAATAAAATTAAAAAAATATTAATTTAATTATCGGTTCGGTTCGGTTCATTTTTTTCAATTCGGTTCGGTTTTTTCGGTTTCGGTTCGGTTCGGTTTTCGGTTTTTTCGATTTTCGGTTTTTTGAACCCACTCCTAGTCAATTTTACATTGTGGATGTTCAGTTGAATTTTTTATTTAATCTAATTTCAGATTGATGAATATTAATTATGATCAAACATTTTTTTTTTTTTTTATAGTTTTGTTTCAACATTTTTTTTATATTTTGTCGTCGTAGGTATAAACTATTATTAGAATTTTAAGTAAAGTGTAGCAACGATCTCTTAACTTTAACTCAATTGGAACAATGGTCCCTCAACTAAAAATTCATTACCACTGATCCCTCAACTCATCAAAACATGCAGCTATGTTCCATCAACTAAAAGTCTATTACTCTTGGTCCCTCAACTTTAACTCAATTGTAGCAGTGATTATTTCAACATAACTCATTTTGACAAAACTCTAACGAAGTTGACGAAAATGGTCATAGCTACATGTTTTGATGAGCTGATGGACCCTAATTGTAGCCATGGTCCTTCCAACATAATTCATTTTGACAAAATTCTGAAGTTAATGAAAATGACCATAGTTACACATTTTGATGAGTTGAGAGACCAATGATAATGAATTTTTAGTTGAGGGACCATCGCTCCAATTTGATTAAAGTTGAGAGACCATTGCGACAATTTACTCGTATTTCTATAAGAAATCTAAAGGGCTTTATATAGTTCGAGTTCGAACATCCAAAATAGAGATTTAATCACCAAAAGCTTTTATATTGAGAAAACTTAATTGTCATATCTTCCGATTGAGAGAGCATGTTGTTTTGTATATCAGTTGAGTCATAAAAAATGAATCGAAATAGTGAAATTCATATTGTATATGGGCGGAACCCCAATGCTTTAATGTTACGTTGAATATTTTTTCTAGAAGTTACATCATATTATGCACAATGTGGTTATTTGGATATTCTTTTTCAAATGCTTTCTTTGTTGATTTGTCTTCCTCTTCTTGCCACTTGTGGGTACTTGTTCTAATGTTATTTGGAGCATATGGTATCTATGAAACAAGATCCGTTTTGAGGGTGCTAAGCTATGTATGGCTTACGCCAAGTCTAGGATTCTTATGTGTACTGAAGAATCCGTTCCTTTGGTTTTTTTTTGGGAGTTTTAACGAAAAGTCCACGGTACTGTTCACTTTAACGAAAAACCACATTTTTACACTAAAAAGTCAAACCTGATACTATTCACTTTACCCTTTATTTTGTCCTTATCGTTAAAACTCAAAGTTTTCAAGCCATTTTCATTAGTTTTTTTTTTTTTTTTTTTCCTTCAGTCCCTTCAGCGTCAAGTGCTCCTAATTTTTTAAATTTTAGGTGTTTCTCCTTTGTTGTCCACTGCCCCTTGTTTCCTCCCTGTTGTTTGGCAACCTCCTATGATCCGGTGGATCGAGGTAAATACTAATGCGTCATTCAAGTCTACAGGCCATGCAGGATATGGTGGTGTATCGTGATTCTCAAGGTATTGGGTGCTTTTGTATTTGTCTTTTCCAACTTTATACGTAAAATAATGTCAAGAGGAAAGCACATGGCAGGAACATATCATCGTTCATGTCTCATTCCAAAGTCAACTATTGATTGAAATTCTATTGAAACAATCATCTGGTTGGCTTCAATGGCTAAAGAGGCAACAGCAGCTGCCTCATCTTTTCCTCCTCAATAGCAGCTGCCTCATCGTTCATGTCAACAGCAGCTGCCTCGTTTCACCAATTCATGGAAATACCATGTATTCTTGAGTTTCAGAGGCAAGGTCACGCGCTACAGTTTCACATGCCATTTGTATAGCACTTTGCGTCAAAAAGGAATTTACACCTCGCTGGATGATTTTCTTTCAAGAGGAGAAATGTCAACAACGCTCCTCAAAGCGATTGTAGAGTCGAGGATTTCTGTCATTGTATTCTTTGGAAACTATGTCTCCAGAAGGTGGTGCTTGGACGAACTTGTGAAGATCCTCGACTGCAAGAAATCAAATCAACAAATGGTGGTACCGGTAATTTACAAGGTGAGTCCCTCGGATGTGTGAAATACATCATTACACTATTACCTCGCTTTCTCCTTCACTTACCTTTGATCCTGTACATCTTCAGTTAATGGAAGCATTTAAGAGTAGAATGTGCCTAAGGATATGGTAAATTGTCAACATCTTAAGGATTTTAAATAAAAGCCAACAGAAATGTTTCCACAGGAAGAGTCAACCGAAAGCTTGCAGATTGTATAAAACATCATATCGCTGGTTATGTTTAAGAAACATCAACAATGCCAACAATTAGGATACAACTATATATATGTTGGCCAATTTGAGCATTTACCCTGCTAATCCAATATGCCTTTTACAACGAAAACGCCCCAAAGTTTGTTGCATTTCCAGATCAGGCATCAATCCTATTTCGATCATTTCTTTAACAAGCCTCAAAGCTTCACCCTTTCTGTCAACGCTTATATAGCCGTTGACCAAGGTTTTATAGGAAGCAATATCAGGCGCATAACCCATAATCACCATTAAGTTCAAGACCACCTTCGCCTTATCCATTCTGCCCTGCAAACAATATTCACTAACCAGCATACTGCAAGTTATTGCGCTGAGTTTCATACTGTATTCAATTGTTGCCTCAAATATTTTGTGAGTCTCTTCTGTCATCCCACCTTTGCAGATAGCATCCAAAAGTATTACCAAAGTAACGGTATCAGGCAAGAGTCCCCGGCCTACCATATCATCAAACAATCTTGTGGCTTCTTCCCATTGAGCTGTACGGCACAATCCATTAATTAAGGAGTTGTAAGTCACAACATCAGGCTTTTCCCCTCTACGGATCATTTCTTCCACAAGATTCAGTGCCTCTGCTGTCTTCCCTTCCTTGCATAAAGCATCCAGTACAGAATTGTATGTAACAATATCAGGCAAGACTCCATAACCAATCATGGTTTTAAATAATCTCACACCTTCCTCCCAGTTACCAGACTTGCATGATGCGGAAATCATGCTATTAAAAGTGACAACATTAGGCTTCAGGCCATTCGTTTTCATCTTTTCAAACAGAGTAAGCGCTTCTCGAATTCTTTCCTCCTTGCAAAGACGGCTGATAAGAACACTATATGCGTATACATCGGGTGAAATTCCACTGTTAAGCATGCAAATCAAGAAGCTCTTGGCTTTTTCAAACCTCCCCGATTGGCACAATGCATAAAGTAGAGTGTTATAGGTGACAACATCTGGCCTGACTCCTTGATCCACCATTTCTTCAAACAGAGAGAGCACTTCTTCCCAGCGACTCATGTTGCATAACCCATGAATCAAAGTGGTATAAGTGATAATACCCGGTACAACACTTTTGTAGATCATATCTCTAAATAGGGTCAAGGCCTCATCTATTTGTCTTTCCTTACACAGGCTATCTATGATGGGATTGTAGCAGTCTTGTTTGGGCTTGAACCTTCCATCTTCCAACATATTCGTAAGTATCTCGAGTGCCTTAGAAGTTTTCCCAGCCTTGCATAGTCCATTGATCATGGTAGCATAAGTGATTTCATCGCATTTGTATCCCTTCTCTTCTATTAACTTGAACAGCTCTATTGCCTCGGCCCAGGAACCGTACTTGCAAAGCCCGTGAAGTAAAGTGTTTATAGAATGAGCATCGGGTTGAAGACCACATTTAAGGGTAATTGCTAAAACAGAGAAACCCAAATCCACCCGGTTTAGATGGCACAAGCAATTCAGAAAAATATTCATTGTACAGACATTAGGTCGGAATTGAGCACAACCCATCAACTGTTTACACATAGAAACGACAGCAGAATATTGCTTCATCTTGGAGAGTGCCCCCAACAAACAATTGAAAGTCCAAATGGAGGGCAAGGGTTTGGTTTGAATCATGGAATTAAAGTAACCCAATGCTTCATCTTTCCTAATTTTTCCAGATTTGCATCGAGTTTGGATCATACTCTCCGATTCCAAATGGGTTTGTTCAATTCTATCCGTACAGGTAGGATTAGCACGAACAGCGTTGGAATGAAATCCACTACTTGGATTCTGCAGAAAGGTATAAATGAAAGAAGGAAGATTACCTGGAGATGGAGGTCTTGTGGTTATCCTCTTCATCTTCATTTGAAAGCTCTCTACTGTTTTTCTTGGTGTTCGAGGACGATTTTGGTATAAGGGCAAGGATTTGGCTCCATTTGAGAGCTCTCTCCTGTTTTTCTTCTGTTAGTTTTCAGTTCTTACAATTCTTTGTGATTTTCGTTAACGGAAAACTATTCTGCATAGCTAAGGCTAGGAGGAAACCTACACTATAACCTTGTACTTTTATTATTTTGATTTTATTTTGAATTTTCGCGGAATTTTACATTGTGGATTTCCAATTAAATTTCTTATTTAATCTAATTTCAGATTGATGAATATTGATTATGATTCATAGGATATACCATGTTTTTATTATAGTTTTGTTTCAACATTCATGCTTTTAGTGAAATGTATAAATTGGTTGTTTGGTATGATTTTGACGGCATAGTTTTTTTTTATATTTTGTCTTCGTAGGTATAAACTATTCTTAGGATTTTGAGTAAATTGTAACAATCATCCTTTAACTTTAACTCAATTTGAGCAATGATCCCTTAACTAAACATCAATTACCATTAGTCTCTCAACTCATCAAAACGTGCAGATATGGTCCCTCAACTAAAAATTCATTACCCTTGGTCTTTCAACTTTAATCCAACTGGAGAAATTATCTCTCAACTTTAATCCAATTGTAGTTTTAGTCCTTCCAACATAACTCATTTTGACAAAATTCTGACGAAGTTGATGAAAATGACCATAACTACACGTTATGATGAGTTACGGGACCCCAATTGTAGCAATAGTTTTTCTAACATAATTCATTTTGACAAAATTCTAACGAAGTTAATTAAAAGGACCATAGTTACACATTTTCATGAGTTGAGGGACCATAATAATGAACTTTTAGTTGAGGGATCATTGCTCCAATTTGATTAAAGTTGAGGAGTCATTGCTACAATTTACTCTTATTTCTATAAGAAATCTAAAGGGCTTATATAGTTCGAAATCCAAAATGGAGATTTAATCACCAAAAGCTTTTATATTGAGAAAACTTAATTGTCATATCCTTCGGTTTTTTATTTCTTCGGTCCCTTCAGCGTCAAGTGCTCCTAATTTTCTAGATTTTAGGTGTTTCTCCTTTGGATTTTTAGATGTACAAGAGTAGAAACCTTCCGTACATAAGCTTCACATCCTCCCTCAACAATTTGTGTGTCTGTTTGTCGAAATTATTCATGTCTTCCTATGTTACGGTTTAAAAAAGGATTTTGATATTGTCCCCAGTCAATCTGAGGGTTCTATTTGATCTCTAAGAATTGTGGGAAAGAACAGGCAAATGCATCTAGACGGGTGGTTTGGTGGTTAGGAGACTTGGAGGGCCAATGGAGGCAGTCTATTCTTGCCATATTTTATTTTTTAGGTTAGTATATGCAGCTTTAAATAAATGATGTTATATCATCACAATCTCATTGCTGGATTTTATTCAGCGTTGGTTTCAATATGATAGTATCATATTTAGACTCAAATGCTAATAGATTATGAGTGGTTTTTAATCTTTGATGATTTGGCATCTGGTTTTATCTTTCTTATGTTGTTTTTTTTAATTAAATTTTTTGGAATTTTCAGAATTTTGGGTCGTTGGAGGCAAAATTTGGTTGCTTACTTGACACGATGAGGTATATAATTATACACCCAATTGACTTTGATCTTTATGTTTTTAATAATTGATAAAGAGTAGTGTTAATAATTGAGAAATCTTAAGAGATTTGTTTGGTTTTGAAATTCCATCAAAAGCTATGATTTTTGTGCGATTGATTTTGTGAGGGAGATAAGACACTACTTTCTAATTTGGTTTTTTCTCCCTCCATTTTCAAATTCCTTCAAAATCTTGCAATTTGCCTTTCTAAATTAGCTTAAGAGTTTTCATAAAATTGAATACTTCGTTAATTTGATCATTGAGATTGGTTCTGAAATTCCAATTTGTTTAAGCAATGACAAATTAGGATTGGTTTTTAAATTCCCCATTCAGAAATACATAGCAATTTCAGCTACAATTTGTTAAGCAAATACATGGCTAATAATTAACGTCTGTTTACTCTAAAAAAAAACCTTTCCCAAATCCTCAAATACATAGCTAATTCAATTAAACGCACATTTGATTGCTGCAATCAATGTCAGATATTCCTTGGGAGTAAGCATTGTTAAATTTTAATTGCAAATGGCAGCTGAAATTATCTTATTTATTACCACTATTGATTTGGATATGTAATACACAATGTTTAGATCATTTGATCGGTACTTAGTTAAGTTTAATACTAGCGGTTTGGCTATGATTAAATTGATCCGGTCTTGAATAGTGTGGCATGTGAGATGATAATAGACTAACAGAGGAAAAGGAGTTGATGCATTTGTGTTTGATTTACAAATTTTGGCAAATCCTTGCCATTTTTTTGGTTTCCTGGTGATTTATAATTATCTTCATAACCAAAAAGCGATAACTTCGAGTTTCTAGAAGTTTTAATGTGTTTTGCGTTCTGCATTTTTGTAACGTTCGTACAAGTTGTCACTAAGATCTTTTGGTTTCTAGCTACTTTAGTTTTTCAGCATTGAATTGTAGGTTAGAGTTTTTGATTGAGTTCTTATTTAATTTCATATTGGAATGGGTACAATATGAGCACTCCTAAAATTGGAAAGTTCTCCGAAGATTGCGAGTATGGTTGTGTCATATATGGTTTATTGTCCATGCAAGGATGGCGTACCACAATGGAGGATGCTGTGAGTGCATTAAACTTTTCTCTTCCTATTTGAAGTTGTTTTCAGAACATAAGTTCTGTTATGTCCATTTTCAGAAGTTTCTACTGTTGTATCATTTTCCGTCTTTATTTAGCATGCTATAGTTTAGGATTTCACTAAATATGATTTTACTTGACATGTTCAAATTCTCTTAATCATGTTCTTGAATTTTACTATATGTATCGTGTTCTTTGTATTTCATTATCTGAACTCTGTTATTTGAATTTGGTTACTTGAATCGTGCCTAATATTTGATGTGGCCACTGGCTTTGTATGGTTGGCTGGTGTGCTTTGAGAGTGTTTTTAGTCAATGGGAGACGGAGGATAAAGGTGTGGGGCAGCGAAGTCAAGTGGGATTTGGAATTTAGGATGGTAGAATTTTTGCTAATTTATGGGATTAGAAGTCTTCCTTTATTTTTGTCTTGGTGTGATCAATTGCAACAAAGAATTTTCATTAAATTGAGGCAGTGAACCTACTAATTTTCAACTGTTGTTTATCTACAATCTTCTCCATTCTCTTGGACCAAACATGAAATCCCAAACACCGTATCACCACAAAGCAAGCAAGCTGAAAAGCAAACCAACAAACCTTTTTTCAGAGGCACTTAACAGAACCTTTCTATGGGTTAATTGTTGTTTCAATTATACCGGATTGAAAACGAGTATGGAACCATTGGTCAAGCATATGGGGCTGTTGCTTCTTTTTCTCAGGGAAATAGAGCATACTAGAAAGTTTTGCCCGCGCGTTGCTGCGGGATTGGAAATTGTGTGAAAAATTATGTTTTACATGTATAAACACATCAACTTATATCACATGTAATTAAATCAAGCAATCTCTAAACATGAGAAATGGATCTTAGAAAGTATAAACCCTACCTCATAATATTAATACAATTAACAAATTCCCAGTGCATGATCACAAAAAGGTATAGAAAAGTAATTCAATTTCTAAATTTCAAAAATGGGAAAGATAAATTTAAAAATAAAAAAAAAGGGTCTAGGGTTTAGGGTTTAGGGTCTAAGTTCTCAGTTCTCACCATAACGAAAATTATGATCTCATTTTAACATAAAACTCAGGTTTTATTTCGGTCACCAGCATTATAAAGCTAGTGATTTCAACTTGTGCAAGCAAACAACTGAATTAGACGTAAGCCTAACTTCAATTTAACCAAATAAAAAAAAACAATCACGATCAAACTAACCACTCTTATTCTCATATGTAGAAGCTATCCTTTGTTTTGCCTTTGTGAGCAGTGCACTTTCCATTCTCTACACACAAAATGATCAGCAACATTAAAAAACTTAATAAATTGTATGTATACATTACTATATATGTATTTGGACATAAAGTACAAAAATTTACTAACAAATTAACAAAAGAAGTAATTATGAATTGGAATTAAATGATATTATAGTTGTTAAAAAAATACCTGACCAAGTTTTACAAATAGGATCATAAATTGTTAAAAAAAATAACTGCACTGAAATATCTAATTACTCAAATCTATAATTCTATTAAAACACATCACTGAAAACCCCAAGGAGAGGTGAATATTCCTAACCTTGCACAGTTAAATTTGCATTTTGTTTGAGGGGAGAAAAATGATCAGAACTGATAAGTCAATAGTTAAATAGGTTTACTCTGGTGTCAAATATTTTTTAATACATACATAATGTTGTCTATTTAAATCAACATTGATTCTTGCATACCTTCGGTTATATAATGTTTGGAGTTGAATGTATATATACCCAAATGGGAATAATTCTTTATCCGAAACTTAGAAAAAACCAACTCATCCGAGAACGCAATGGAACTTAGCTGCAACTCCAATTTAATCAATGTCAATTATTATATTGAAACAATGTGATCAAACTTAATCAAAACTCCAAATCCACCAAAAGTTTAAATTTCTTACCTTGAGTGCTTCAGAAAACGACGGCATTCTAGCCTGGAAATAAAATCCCCAAAATCAGAAAAATGAAATTTGCACAGAATCTTTGGAGGCCAATTTCGTGAATATTTTGCAAACTATTAGAAATCCTATTTAAAATTTTACTCACGTTATCAACAATGCCAGCCTTTGCCTCATCTCTCCTTTTACGTTGGCTTGTATAAGTTTGTTTTCAATAAAACCCTGTAAGAAAGGGAAAGTAGAGGAAAGTTTAATGATATAAACAAATAATAGAACAGATCCCATAAGTTCCCTAAAATGAAAGCTACAATATGCACAAAATGTAACTATTAGTAATAATAACCAATGTAATCAAACATGAATAAAATGGTATCGTACAATTGTGTTCTTTTTCATACAGCTCTGAGGTTGAGTCTTATGAAATGGCAAGTTTGATACAAATTATATTTCCGGAAAAAATTCCTCTAATCAGATTATCTACCCGCTTGACTTCATCTTCAATAGCATCATTAAGATCTCATTAAGATCCACTACATTCTCAAACAGGGACATTGCCTTGGCATTCTCTTCATCCTGAAGAGTTTAATCATGATCACAATTCCGAACTCCAAGTCAATCAATTATCTACATCAATGGACTAATAAAGTGTCCAATAACGATAAAAAGTACCCACCTTGACTTTCTTGAATATATCTTGGAATCCCAACTCCCTAAGAACTTGCTCCCGAAGTCTGCAAAGAAGCTGGATTTCCCAAACACAGCAGGTAAAAAAAAGAAACTTAAATGCTAAGAAAACGATGCTGCGATAAATCATGACTACAACATAATAGAAAGTGAGAAATCAACTCAAATCAAAATTTTGAGCTTACAATGCAATCCGGCGGGCCGCTGTGACTCTCAAGATCCTTCTTCAAGTCCTCCAGTATCTCAGTGTACCTTTCAGGCAAACACATAAACAAATTGCGGGCATTTCCAAAAACCCAATTCACTCATCACAAAAAAATCAGTAAAGTGTGTACCTCTGAGCAAATTTCTCAGGTCTGGCCGGAGCGTCGGGAACCGATGCGCCAGACTCAGCTCGTTTCCTGCCGAAAACCAATCAAACCCATTAACGAAAAACCCAAGAAATTAAGGTTTATGATGGAGGTTGGGGAAATGATGAGGATTATCACTTGAAGGAGGGGGTGGAGTTGTAGAAGAGGTCGATCCAAGAGAGCTCAGTGGAAGTGGGCTTTCGGGAATTGTCGGAGGGAAATCTGTAGGGGATGGTGCAGGCTCTGTAGTTGAATTCGATCGGCATCGTCAACAGTGGAAATAAAGAGTGAATTAGAAGATTTATCAGAGAGCTTACCTCTGCAGTTGTTGCCACTGCGCCTTCATGTTTCACCCAGATGCAGACTTCAATCTATCTAAAACTGCAAGATCCACACATAAACCACAATATTACAATTCTTTTCAACTTAATTACCCAAAAACAACAAACTTTAAAATACCCCAAATACATAGCACCCCTAAATTCACCATCGTCTTTGACAAACGAAACTCAGCTCTCAGCGATGGCGACATTCGGTTCGGGTGAGTTGTCAGAGGTGATCGGCTAGCATAAAAATCGACCCCATCAATACTCACATCCCAAATTTCAAAAATTTTATCAAAATTGATGCAAAACTAACTAAAACCCATCAAAATCAGGGAAAAAGATGAGTTTTACCCGAGGAATCGAGCTGAACATATATCTTCTGGGTTCTACCTTTACCTGCATAGAAAGTCAAAAATTAAAAACCCACAAACCAAAAACTTAAAATAAAAAAAAATCAAATTTCTTTCTCTAGAGGTTTAGACAAAGAAACATCTTCACCTGCACAGAAAGTCAAAAATTAAAAACCCACAAATCAAAAACTTAAAAACCAAAAAAAAAAAATCAAATTTCTTTCTCTAGAGATTATGACAAAGAAACCTGAAGAGATCTCTGACGGGTTTCCAAGGGAGAGGTCGAAATGGAAGAGATGCCGTCCAACGGATGGGGAGGAGGAAGGAAGGAAGAACAGAGCATCGTTTCTATTTTTCCAGAAAAATATCTGCACAAATTTTGACTAGTTCATCATTCTTAGCAAGAAAGTGAGAGAGAGACACAGAGAACCCCAGATCGGAGAGCCAGAAAACGTGAGGATTGAGAGGAAGAAAAGCGTTTGTGAGACACGGATCGAAAAGGATGGAAGGCTCCAGAAGACCAACGTGTCGACATCCAATGGAGTGTGAGAACCAAAGCACCAAGGAAATCGAAACCGGAGAGGATAAACGCGCGGCCTCGGAGAGCGAAGTCATTTTACTGTAGAAAAGAGGGTAAAAAAGTGGCTTAACAAACGAATTGAGGGGCATTTTGGTCCGCACACTGCCCTAAAACAGTAACCAAATGTTTGGGTTTAATATATATAGAATTTTACAACCATATGTTTTGTAATCAGCTCGGTTGAATGTATATAAAAGTTAAGCTGCTTATCTTACCGACACTGTTCACTCATCTATCCCTTTTGTTCATTCATGATTATATTGAATTTTTTTTTCAGGTTAAATGTGTCTTATTAATATAGTTAAGGCTAATGCATTCAAGTCCCGCAGCAACGTGCATACATATTACTAGTTACTTTAGTTTAAAGAAAGGGGAGAAATTGCCCTGTACGAATGTGCAACGTTTGTGTCCGAATTTTTTATTGCGAGTCTCAAGGCCTACATCTAAGATCCTAAAAGGCATCTTTCAGAACTTACTTCATTCTCTTCTTGCAGCACATCAGCAAGCAAGAGCCTGACCATACATCCAAAGTCTTGAGAAGCTTCCAAATAAAATAAAAATTTTCATTTGGCGATGTTGTAATAAAGCGTTGGCAGTTAGACATAATCTTCATCGGAGGCGCATGAGGGTTGATAACGTCTGTGGGGTCTGCGGCGCAATGGAGGAGACGGAAAATCACCTATTCTTCCAATGTGAATTCAGCCATCGTTTCTAGTTCTGCTCTCCTTTGCACCTAAACTCCCATGGTATGAATGGTGCAGATTTTCTGACTAATTGGGAACTCTTCCATAAAAGTGTCAAGGGAAAGGGGGAAGTAGATGAGATACTGCAAGATTTCGCCTTCGGCCTCTGGAGGTTGTGGAAGAACAGGAATGAAACAGTCTTCAACGGAACGCAACATCAACCTCTGGACGTTCTGAACATCTGGAGGAGCAGTCTGGCTGAGTTCAGAGAAGCCACTACCAGGACGGCTGATGGTGATCGTCCTCCCCGTGACGCGGGGACTTCGGAGGTGAGGCGTCGGGGCGCTATGTGGACGAAACTTGAGTTTGGCTTTATCAAAGTAAATACGGATGCTGCGTGGTGTAAGAATTCCCTTCGTATGGGTGTGGGGTGGGTGTGCCGAGACTTTGCCGGTGTACTCCAAGCTGCAGGGGGTCGGGCACCGGGCTATGCCACTCTGCTGCGGCGGGCGAAGCCCATGCCATTCGTGAGGCCATTTTGGCTTGCACATCGTTGGGCTTTAACAATATAATCATCGAATCTGATGCGATGGTGATCATACAAATGCTTAGGAAGGAAATACCTTCTGATTTTAGTCTGGATTGTATTCTTGGTGATATTGAGGTTCTAGCACGTAGGTTGACGTCTGTTTCGTTTGCCTTTGTGTCTAGGGAGAGCAATGCTGCGGCTCACTCAGTGGCCAAGTATGTTTTCAAGCAAGGCAAAGAGTTCATTTGGGACTGTATTGGCCCGGATTTTTTGTTTAATACTCTTGCAAGGATGTAAACATCTCTATTCGTATTTAATGCATCTCTATCTTTGGGAAAAAAAAAGTCTTGAGAAGCTATGCTGAGTACCGAAGACCACCTTTTCGAAAAAATCTTCGTCCGAACAAGAAGTCTTGCTTTCCTTAACATCATAATCCACGGTGCTTTTTCTGAACAATTATTGCTTTGTATTCCACACATTTACCTTTGGAGCAAGTGGAACTTTTCTTTTAAAATAAAAGAAAGCCGAATGGTGGAGAAGTTGGAGGGGACAATTGTTGCAAGTTGTTTGAAAAAAAAAAGGAAAAGAAAAGAGCACTTGCCTTTGTGGCTTTGAAAAGTGTGTGTGTTTTGTCGACTCGCTCTTGGGGCACTTGCCTGTGCCTTCTCATTGAGTATTGGAGCTTTAAAAACACAGGTGTCTGTGTTTTGTCGACGTAATTGATGGTGTTGATGTTAAAATGTGATTCATGATGATGAAAGAAAAGAAATAATAGTACAATAATAAAAAGGTGAGGTGCATCGGCACCATCACAGAAATAATAGTAAAATATAATTTAAAAAAAAAAAAAGAGAAATGGGGACAAATGTTTCTGGAGCTATGTGGAAGATAATGAGAGAAATTGCACTGTATGAACGTGCAGGGTCAGGATTTCATTTTATTTACGAGACTCTCTTACTTTAGTCTAAAGTTAGGGGAGAACAATACCAAAAAAAAAAATTTAATAGAAATGGTTTGAAAACTTTAAGTTTTAATGATAAGAATAAAATAAAAGGTAAAGTAAATAGTATCAGGATTAATCTTTTTAACGTAAAAATATACATTTTCTTTAAAATAAACAATATTGCAGATTTTTCGATAAAACACTGTTACAAAAAAAGAACTAACCTTATTTACAAAGTCATTTACAAAGTCTTCGTGTAAACAATAAAGACTTCAATTATCAGGCTTATGGTGTGTTTGTTGCGCCGGACTGTCTCGGACTGGACTAGCTGCCGGGACTAAGCTGGACTGGCTTAGACTGGACTAAGCTGGACTAACTTAGTGAAGCGTTTGGTGCAGTCTCGGACTAAGAAGCAGGATAAGAAAAACAGTATTGTTCACCAGATTTGTGTTTGCTTAGACTAGGACTACAAATTTTTGCCATTGTGTAATAGAGTAATGCTACAAATATCATGATATGGGTTAATTGGAACATATTTTTACCATGTATATTATGAATCTTAAAAAAAATTGACAATTGTTTTGTTTCTATTACCTGCTAATAGAATTGGGTTTAATTTGCAAATGTAGCTTGATTTAAACTCTATCACCCAACAGAAGAAAAATAATAGTGGCCAATACATGCAACTTCAACAAATACAAGTACATAAGATCTCCATAATTTAGAAAATCCTAGTTAACATTAGTTAACATTAGCCAAAATAGATCTCCATAATTTACAAAATGGCTAGTTAACATAAGCCAAAATACTAGTGCAAAGCTAAGTTATAAGTCATAACATAAGATTGTATGATTAATAAAATACATCCATGTTAACGTTAATAAAATACATCCATGTTAACATTAGCCAAAATCCTCATCCACTTGCGTTGTCGCTTAAAAGCCTTTGGACGAACACTTTCTTGAGTTCCGGTTTGATTGCCCTGAACACTTCCACATTTTTTGGTTTATCCAAAATAAGAGACAATGCATCAATTTGATCCATAGGAGAGAGACCCATTGCTTCAAGTTCATTAGCTATGTCAGTATGATCTGCAGTACCTTGAACTAAAGCTTCAGTTACCATTTGCATCCTCTTCCCACTTTCAACATAAAAATCTTTCAGTCCATTGATAATTGCCTCAGTTCCATCACTTGAACTTCCCACAGCTCTTTCCTCTTTCTTTGGCTATTTTCAAATGGGGTGCTTTGTTGGCTTTGTTGGTTCATTGAAGAAACAAAATTATCACCTCCAATATCACTTTCACCAACATGATCATGACTTTGTTCCTCCACCATTTGAGCAGGGGTTTCGGCTACATTACCCGTAGCCCGATCTTTTCCAAATATATATGCAAATCTATCAAACAGTGGAAAATGTTTGCTTCTCCATCCATCGGCTTCTTTATTTCTCTAAGATTATATCAACATAGCAAAACTAAAATTTAGCATGCGTAACAAATATAGCAGCAAGAATATAACTAATGCATAAATAAAATAGGATATGAACCTGCACATAAGTTTGCCATGCGTCATCACTGTCAACTTCAACGCACTTTTTGACATCATTCCATGCAAATCCACTTGTGTTTATCATGTCAACGACCATACTATATGTTTTTTTTCCATTTCTTCAACTTGGACTCAATATGTGGATTTGCCTTTATATTTGAATGAGGACATAAAACATTGACAGCTTTTGCTATTTCAACCCAAAGTACCTTGTTTGAAAGCACCGGTGTCACACCGTTGCTTCCGAGCAACAAAATCCTCAAGAACTCCTAGTAATACTTCTTCCTCAAATGCTTCCCATTTACGCCTTCTTCCTTTTGGCTCTTTAGTAGCATTCAAAAAATTTTCGTTATCCATACCTAAACAAAAAATATTTTAATGAAGGAAAAATACCATACAAATAATCAATTTGCATAATATCCAATCAACTTGCATAATATCCAATCAACTTGCATAATATCCAATTAATTTGCATACCATCCAATCATTGTGCTAATATCTAACAAATGCATGATAAAAAGGAATACTAAAATAAAATGTTATCATTAACACATATAGCTAGTTCGGTTGCTGGTTCCTAATTGCTCTCCACTCATTATACATTTCCTGAGCCATATCATTCCTCATTGCAGTCCACTGGTCCGATGTTTGAACACTACCAACATATATCACCTTCTTCTGTATTTTGTCCATCTTCTATTATTGGCAAATTCTCCATTGGATCTACAGACATCTCTTGCCTAATAAGATTGTGTAGTAGGCAACAAGCGGTAATTATTCGACCTTGTGTCCTTATCGGATAGAAAGATGGACTCCTTAGTATCGACCACCTTCCTTTTAGCAAGCCAAAACAGCGTTCAAGTACATTCCTTGCCTTAGAATGCTTCATGTTAAAATATTCTTCCTTATTAGAAGGTGTTCGTCCCTCCCATTCAGATAAATGATAAGGTATTCCTCTATAGGGTGCAAGGAATCCTTCACCATTTGTATGACCACCATCTACAAGGTAATAACAACCTAATGAAAAAAAAACAGACCTTATTAGTGTTTTGTAGTTGACAAACAAAACTAAACCTAACTTACAAAGTTGAGACTAAGTAATAGTCTTACCCGCTGGTACCTTAAAACCATTAGGCCTACTAATTGCATCATGTAGCACTGTAGAGTCTGATGCGGAACCCTCCCACCCCGGAAACACATATATGAACTGCATATCTCCTGAACACACACCTAACACATTAGTTGCGACTCGACCCTTTCTTGTTCGGTATCTTGGTTTGTCAATTTCAGGTACATGCACATCAATGTGTGTTCCATCCA